AGTGTTACTTTTGCCGCTAATTATCTCTAGTAAGACGATTCCATAGCTGTAGACATCTGCTTTGTCCGTTAAATAGCCTCTCATTGCGTACTCAGGAGCCATATAACCACTGCAAAAAATATTTATTCTGAATTTAGCGAAAAAAAAAAAAAAAAACTTTCACGAAGTGGGATTTTTTGGAAAAGAAACCAACCGGAAGACTTACATAGTTCCAGCAATTCGTGTGCTAATGTGCGTGTTCTCTTCTTCATCGAGCTTAGCTAAACCAAAATCGGATATCTTAGCAGTTAGATCTCTATCCAAAAGAACATTAGTCGCCTTTATATCCCTATGGACGATTTTCAACCTCGATTCTTCATGTAAATACGCAAGACCTTTTGCTATACCGATACATATCTTCTTTCTCGTGGACCAGTTGAGGTTTAATCTTTGTTCTTCACGACCTAAATGAAAAGAACACGTATAAAAAAAAAAAAAAAAAGGTTATCATCATGAACAAATGTGAGAGAAGATAGATATAAATATTTTTACCAAAAAGTGCACGCGCGAGACAGTTATTTTCCAAGTACTCGTATATTAAAAGCAACTGATTTCCTTCTATGCAGCAGCCAAAAAGCTTCACGAGGTTCGGATGTTGCAAAGCAGATATCATGCCTATCTCGTTAACAAATTCTCGATTTCCTTGTTTCGACTTAGACGAGAGCTGCTTAACTGCAATTACTGTACCATCGGATAAAACACCCTATAACAGGAAATGAAAGGAAATGTTAAAAAAAGGGGAAAATGCTGTTCGAGTACTAGAATGAACTTCGTAAAAAAATTGTTTCTTCTTTTTCTTTTTTTTTTTTCTTTTTTTACCTTGTAAACGGGTCCAAATCCACCCTCACCAATCTTATTCGCGTTATTGAAGTTATTAGTAGCAGATTTGATCTGTCTTAGACTGAAATAACCCGTTTGTAGATCAAGTCCTCGAAGTTCTGTATGATCAAGAAAACACGAACATAGTTTGGTAGTTAGTCATAATCCTTTACGACATTTTCTTTCTTTCATTTTTTTTCGGCCAAGTACTCACCATTATCATCGGCTTCTTTTCCTCCCAAGTACCCTTTCTTCCATAGAACGAACAAAACCAATAACACAACCACACACGAAGAGATCACGATACCAGCAATAGCTCCGGCAGATAATCCTCCTGAGCCCGTGCTGACTTCATAATCTACAAAGGAAAATAAGAGAAGAAAATATAACATAAATGGAAATAGAAAAGAATTCAGAAAAAGAGAAAAAAAAACATAGAAACACCACTCACTTGGTGTTACGGCTATTGCGGATATCAACGGCCCGTATATACCTCTGATGGGTATAGCCGTTGTTCCCTGTCCAGTCCAGTACAAATGGATCTCTAAAGTGCTCCCATTTACATCANNAAATTCCTGATAAATCCCTCTCCTAACACCATTAGCCTCCCTAGCGATATCGAAATCCGGCAAAACTACACGACCCTGCTCAAGAAAAACCCGCGTACATTCATAAATGTAAATATTGCAATATTTCTCTACCTAACTATTCAAATTTTAGATTCAGGAAAAGAAGAAGAAGAAGGAAAAAAAAAAAAAAAAAATCAGCTTTAGTGGTGTGCTTCTGTGAGGCTTGATTCATCGTATAGTAGAAGCTTAAAATGTCTAATAAAAAATTTCAAAATTTTCCCTTACTTGAATGGCGACATCGAATACTCTCCTCCCGAGATTGCTATAAGTAGCGTTATCAAAATACATTATTTCGGCAAAATAGAGACGCACTCTATAGCTACCCTGTCGCATGCAAAGCCCGTAATATTTTATCGACGATGGGGCAAGACGGGCCGTATGGTAAAGATCGGTATTTGCATCTATCATTAACGAGTCATTTCCAACTCTGTACGGTGCATTGTCTTCCCCCATGTATGTGCCCGTGCTGCTATAAGCCCACCTATCATTCGACTCAAAATGTGACGGGCCAAGATTGCTAAGGTTCTCATCATACTCGTCCCCCTCGAATCTCGTTCTTCCTCCTCCGCAATTTATGAAGAACGAGTGGCCTGCGAGTTGAGCTTTACACGATTAGGCCACATTTTGTCGAAAAAATGCAATGTGAAAAAAGAAAAAAAAAATTGTTAATGTGAGAATGTGATCTTACGGTTGGCTCTGGTGGGGCAAGGAAGGTCACGCCTCAGGCACCATTCGATTCTGTCGAATATGAACGTGTTAGAACTTTATTGCATGGTGAAGTGAACGAATGCAACAAAATCCCTTTAGAAGCTCGTGTTTTCTTGATGATGCAATTTGTAATGTAGTGATTAGACTTATCTCAAAAGTGTGTGTTCTGTAATTACCTCACTTTACTGATTTACAAAATAAAAAAAATAAAACTCAACAGGGATTTGCAAGGAAGAACTCACGAGTTGTCTGCCGAATTCGAATGACTAGCAACCAAATTTCTGCACAAAAAAAAAAAGAAAGAAGGAAAGAGTACTCGGGTGAATTTAACGTGAAGAAGACTTGTTCCGATAAATTACGCGCAAAAACTTACATGGTTGGGAACTGGCAACCAACCGGACGTGAATGAGTGAAGTTGTTGTAAGATAGATCACTGCAATGAGTAGATATGGATAGAAAGATGATAAATATAATTGTTTAAACAAACGGTAGTTTTGTCAATTGGAGTAAAATTCTTACAAATTACGGCTACTGCTCAAGATCCAACCGGGAACTTCCCCAGTTATTGAGTTGTGAGACAAAAACCTGAAGCAAAACATAGTTACAGCTCTTAATAAAAACTAAAAAATTTAAGAATAAGAAAAAATAATAATAAAGCATGTAATATGAGAGAAACTTAAGGAACTAGTGCAGGTTTATGCAAAGAGTGATACATACATAAAACGCAGTCTCGGCAGATTTTGTAATGTGACTGGGATTGTTCCATCCAACATGTTGAAACTGAGGTCCCTATAAATAAATAATTCAAAGATAAAACATAAATAGATGTCCTATAAAAATATAAATACATAACGAAATAATAAAATGTAGAATAGCAAAAAAATAATATGAAGAACTACGTTTATTAAAAAAAAATAATATCAAGAACTGCGTTCTTTGCAACACCACATAGACTATCAAGATAGATCGAACTTAGAGAAGTACAATGTAGTTGGTCCTATTTATAGTGTAATTGTTAGGCATAAAACATGATAGTCAAGTCAAAGACTTCATAAGTGGATTACCATCATAAAAGATACCTTCTGCAACAACAATAATGCACAAACTCCTCATACACACACACCAAAAGAGAGAGAGAGAGAGAGAGAGAGAGAGAGAGAGAGAGAAGGAACACTTACAGAGTACTTAGGTTAACCATGCTTCCCAAGTATGGTGGAATTGAACCAACAATCGAGCAGTTTTTTAACATCCTGCAAAACATCACAACTAAAACATCACAATGCTGTAAAACTTAACCGAAGATTAGTATTTCGTGTTTTTGTTTTATAGTTTCTTGTGTTTTTTTTTTCCTTCCTTCTTCTTACAGTGCTTGCTAAATAACAAACACGGTACTCACAATCGCTCCAAGGATGCCATTTCCTGCAAATTTGGAAAACTCATGCTTCGTCCTCTAAGATCGGAGATCCTCCTGTTAACCAAAAAAAGTGTTCATTGAAAACATTATCCTAGAATTCCAACTGTATACACAGACACAAAATATAAACCGCTTTCTTAAGCTAACCACAAGAAATACACTTGATTTCTCGGTCTAATTACAGAAAAGCCCATTCATCTTCCAAAACTACAAAAAGCCCCTACATTTCTATCTCCAATATACAAACTGCACCCTGAATAGAAGGATATTTGTGGGCGTTTGTAGTTTTAGAAGATGAAAATGGAATCTCTTTTAGACGAACAGAACGTTTGAGCTTACAATTCTAGCAAGAATCTCAATTCGGATATTCTGGCGGGAATAGGTCCCTCCATTGAGGTGCCTTGCATGTCTCTGCAAACAAGTTTTGTCAGTATAACAATAAAACATTTGATTAATATCCTGTATTTCTAGATAATCAAGAAAATTCAAGCCAAGAAAGATTTGAAATGGCCTGTTTAAATCAGTCTTACAATCTAGTAAGTCTGGTCCAGTTTCCAATAAATTCAGGTATTCTTCCAGATAGTGTACTCCCATCAATACGACTACAAACAACACAATATTTGTAAATGAAGATATTGCATAAATCAATATCACGTAACAAAAATGGAATTTGGATCATTTGACGAAAGATTAACTTACAAATCTGTCAAGTTCCTTAAATTGACGAATGTTGATGGTATCGTCCCATTAAAATGATTCGCTGAAAGCAGGCTGCAGGGAAAATTCAGATATCATGTTACTTGTCAATAAAAATAATGCTAGTCCAATTTAAGTGATAGCTTTTTTGGTTTACTATCCCCACACCTGTTACTATGAATTACCAAAAAAGTAGTATGTTAATTAGTGATTAGAAAAAAAAAAAAAAAAAAAAAAAAAAAAAAAAAAAAGAGGCAAGATTGGATCAGCAGGCTTACAGCCTATTCAAATTGCGCAAATTTCCGAGGCTTGCCGGTAGATTTCCCTCGAGCAGATTATCTTCCAAAACACTAGTGTTTATAAAGCAGCACACATTTAGGCACAATACTACATTTGATTTTCCATGGCTGCATTTTTCTTTACATGTTTATATTAAATTTATAATTACTTACAGTGATTCCAAAGTGGCAATGTTACCAATTTCAGCCGGGATTGGGCCACTTAAACGATTTCCAAGAAGTGAGCTGTTGAATGTAACAAAAGGTAAGTTTACCGAATAGCTTTACGAATTGTAAATAATTAGATAACTTACAGAGAGGTAACACGAAGCTGGCCAAATATAGCAGGAATTGATCCATTAATGTAATTCCGGGTGAGATCTCTGAGAACAAAAAACAAGTAGAGTTAACCATTACTCTCGTGGAGGAACAATTTTGTTACTATTTCTCAACATCACCGAAATTACCGTTTCATAAAAGAAAAACTACTAAGACAAACATGTTTCTTTGAGTGACAGTTCACTAAAAGAACTTCCAAAAAATGCAAAGATGGTTGTGTATTTGTGACATGAGAAGTAATACTATTGTGGAAACTTACATCTCAACCAGATGAGTAAGGTTTACAAACTCCTCAGGCAACGGTCCGGTCAAATTAAACCCCCTCAATAGGCTGCAAATGAAAAACAGAGAAGTTAGGATCAAGAATTTGTTATCGAGGATAATAAAATCACTTATGACACAAAAAGTTGACCATTATAGTTAATCGAACTTTTCTTATAAAGAAAAATATGAGAACATGCCTTCCATTAAAAAAAAAAAATCGAAAGATACAATTTTCGGCATCTATAATCACAGTACAAGAATAAAGAAACATAAGTAAGAAAGAAAGAGAATAAGAGCTATACATACATGTTTGTTACATGGCAAACGGAGCCGTTATTAAAGTTACAGTCACAAACCACAATGCACTCTACAACTCTGCGCCAATAGGTTGTGTTAAAAGCACTAGGTTCATTGCAGGAATTTCGACTAAGATTCCAGTGAGTGTTGTTCAGCCTCGACGATATAATTTGAAGAATTTGAACTGCAAGAAAAAAAAAAATAAAAAAAAAAAAATCCATGTATTATAAAGAAACTAGGTACAGCCAACTATATGCCAAAGATAAATTCTTAGAAGACAGTTGAAATTCTGATTATTCCAATCAATTAAAATTTAAATGGAATATTAATTTGTCTAGAGTTTAGATAAGTCACACGTGCTAACAATTGAGTAGTGGGTATTCAGATTTGGTTTTGACAAGTAAAAAAATCTCTATAGTGAAATCTACAGCAAATCCTTACATTTATACTTGTTAAGAACACCAAAGTTAATGAAACAAAACACACCACTTCCAAAAAAAAAAAAATGAATCTTTTCATTGAAAAAATTTGCACAATCAACTACAAAATTATTTTTCCACTTCATGGTGCTGCTAGAGCACAAATAACCCAAAAAAAAAAAAAAAAAAAAAAAAAAAAAAAAG